TGTGTGTGTGTGTGTGTGTGTGTGTGTTGATGGGATGACAGGACTGGACAGGGACAGACGTGACTCACCAGCAGGTAATTATCAAGCATCTCTTTAACTGATTCTTGAGGTACCAGGTTCAGAGACAGGTTGTTGAAGACTTCCTCATTCATAGATCTCTGTCCACATCTGCAATATAAAACAATGTGCATGAAATTACAGACGCAATAAACAAGAATAAAATAAATGTGTTTTATCTTCATTGGGATTTACTYCATGCACGCCCGGGTGCTCTTCATCTTGAACATCAGGTGCTTCTGGATGGGGCATACGTAGATGTCTGCCATACCGGGCAGTCCTGTAATCACGGGGCATAAACTTCGGATGTGATCCAGAAAGGACGTCAGAAATTCATGAGCATCCTGCAAAAGGAAAGACGCAGAGGGTTCAATGCAAGAGGAAAAACTATCAAGACGAAAAAGAAACAAGACAAACCTTCAAACTAGCCAACACACCTTCTGCCCCATGTCCAAGAACTCTGCATACCTCTTGCCCACTTCCATTTTGAAGGCAAAGAGGGCCTTGAGTTTGTTTCCATTATTAGGGGAGCGGTGACACCTCACTATGTTCATGAATGCACTGTAGAGGGTGAGAAAGAAATAGGAAACCTCTGTTATCACCACTGACAAAAACACACACATCAGATTTGTGTTTGTTTGCGGTGTGTCGTGTACCTGAGAAATTCAGCTTCGGGATCCAACTCCCACATGTCTTTTAGAACCCTGATGTCTCTGGTGAACTCTGTCAGAGTGAGAATAGCATTTATTCTCAAGTGACACCCTTAGCTGACTTAAAGGTTCAGTGTGTAGAATTTAGTGATATCTACAAGGTGATATTTACCTGTATCCTTTTACTGTGTGGTTAAGATTTGCTGCAAGGAGTACACTTAACATTAAACATGTAGTACCAACATTGCAATCAAACTGTGATGTTTTATTTCCAGTGAGCAGGATTCAGATTGTAAATAAAGACACACTCTTCTCTGCAGAGTTAACACTAGTTTCACCACCTTTCAGTAAAACTACTACACATCTACCACACCCCTGTACTACTGACTCTGGGTTGTACTGAGCACTACGGTAAACAAAACATGTTCTTGCAATGTTAAGAAATACATTTTAAAGTTCTGGATCCAGATCCACGACAAAAACTCATCACTTACTAAGACACTGTTCTAACATCCCACCAAATGTAATCAAACAGACAAACATAGCATTGTCCATTAAAAAAGACTCTGTTATGTTCACTGTCCTATTTCACTTCAGGTGCGTATTAATTTGGTGCATATGAAAGTGATTTTCCTCCATCCTCATCTACCTGAGCAAAACATTCCCCCTTCACATTTTCTCAAACTCTCCCTGAGCAACAATCTCTCCACCTTCAGATCGCCTCACAAAACAATTTAAACATTCACTCTCTTCTGGGGCTACGGCCAGAATCCAAGAGGGAAAAAACCAGAGCAAACAGAAGGCTGCATACTTTCCGGCAAAACTTTACACAGTGGTAGAGAAGACGGCCTTGTTGAGGTGCCCACTTCAGCCGGAGGAGACGTTTGGCAAGAAGACCCTGCTCTGGTTCTGGGCCCAGGTTTATTGCATGTCACTTGATTTCTCAGACATGTCAGTGTTTTTTGCTGTCTGGCAAAAGTTGTTCATGTCCAACCTGTTGTGTAATTTCAGTAGCGTGCCCCAATTTTTAACTATAAAAACAGGCCACCAGAGGCCCATGTTACCTGGCCAAAGCAAATGTTAGATCCAAATATGGTGTCACCTCACTTCCTGTAACTGCAGTGCAATGACTGAGTGATCAAAAGAGCAGAATAAGATGATCAAGTCAGAATTGAATCTTCAGCTGCTTCCAGTTTATTGGACTCATCCTCTTATCAGAACTGCTCAGTCGCTCCCTCCCTCCTCTGACAAGCTCTCAATCATCCTCGGGGCTCCCTCCCTATCTCTCTCACTCACATCTCACTCACCTCTCTCCCTCCCGTTGTCGTCCACTGCATGTACCTCAACACTTGAGACCCAGAGCTAAAGATGTCCTGCACGTATGCAACCGTCCTGGCTCTCCTCGCCGTGCTCCTCGCACTCTCTTGTGAGTCTCATGCAGAAGAATGTTGGATTCGGGTTTTTGAATTTGTGGAGATGGATTTTTTTCTTTAGGTTTAGACACACTTATAACAGCTTTTTATTCATTCATGTTTTGTTCTCTGACCCAGTGTCTCCAGAGGCCGACTCTGCAGCTGTGCCCAGCAGCACAAGCAACACTACTGATCCACAAGGTGAGGAGCTGCACCAGCTGCACTGCTCCATCCTTACATCCTCAATCTGTCTTAATCCCTTCATGTTGTCAGCTGAACAACCTCCTGCTTCCACTGCAGGTCTCCTCAAGAGGATTTTCATGAAGGAGGCCGATGCCTCAAACTTCTTCAGGAGACGCAGCAGACGGGGAGCGAAGTCCCAGGATGAGATTAACGGTGAGTTCACTTCAGGTTGTTAATGGCCAGCCAAAATGAGTGTGTGTGTGTGTGTGTGTGTGTGTGTGTGGTCATCTGTTCTTTACAATGTAAGTACACATTCATCAGATGTACTCTCACACTAATTTCCACACTGTTATTTGCCAGAATGGACGTCATCATGTTGTACTATCAAATAATGCTATCACTGATGACTCACAAGAAACCATTTATCCTAGTAAGTCATTTAGTCTCATTTTCAGAATTACGTTTTGAAGAGGAAATTGAATAATCCGGTGTAATAATGACTAATGACTTTTAAAATTGTTCTGATTGAAAAACTGAATATGACTTTGAAATAGTGAACAGTTTTTGATTCAACACACCTGTTTACAAAACTTGACATTTATTTTACAACTTAAAACAAAAAAATCTTCCAAAGAGGTTTAAGAAATGTTGACGTTTCACCTGCTTTTCATTCATATTGTTTGATTTATTGAAATTTTAATAGATAATTTAACAGCTTGCTAAAATAAAAGTTAGTCTGGCACATTTAAAGTGGCTTGGATCAACTACTGTGCCTATACAAAATTCTAAAAACCAATAAATCCATTGTTCCTCGTAAATGTTTGCATATTTGAGGAAGTTTTAATGAATAGAAATGAGGGCAAACTGCTGTACAAGTACCAACAAAATTCTGAACTGAAAGAAACTTTTAATGCCCTTTAATGATTTTTTTTATCTCTTAATAGAACTGATATGATAACAGAGACAGGTGGTATTGGATATTATGACCCCAGTCATGGATTTATCTCTTGTTTTAAGAAAGACTTAAATTAGCTGCTCAGTAATAAATTAAATGACTTATTAAAATTCAGATCCTTTGCAGTCTGAATTGACAGTAAGAAGAACAGGTTTATTGTGGACTTAATGTTTGTCTGTGGCATCCAGCAGTTCAAATGATTGCACCAGAAACCACCTCCAACCTGTCTGAGCTCGGCCTCCTCCTCTGCTGGAGGCTACAGCAGGAGCCACAGGGCAGCATGGAGCTCTCTCTCTAACACACACACACACAGACTCACACAGTTTGGAATAGATGTGTCAATATTTTCCTAAAAAGTTTTGTGAAAATTCACATGCTGTGCAGTGTTTGAAGTTCTCAGGGGGCTTAAAAGCTCTGTTATGTACAGTTCTACCAACAGAAAGGTGAGAGCACACACACACACACACACACGCACATACACATATATACACACACACCCACAGACACACACACGCGCACATCTTTGCACTTCTATCTTAGTGAGGACACTCATTGGCATAATACATTCCCTAGCCCCTAACCCTAACCTTAACCATCCAAACAACGCCTAACCTAAACCTAATTGTTACCCTTACCTTAACCCTAAAACCAAATCTTAACTTGGTCAAAATGTCCTAACTTTTCATAAATATCCTCACTCTTTAGGGTCTATGCTTAAAATGGCCCTCACAAAGATATAAGTACAGGAACACACACTGGTGCTATGAATTGGAGTTGTGTAACAGACTGTGGGGTTGTGTGCATGCGGCAACAACAACAAGACACTTTGTGCACTAAGCAGAGAATGCAGTGATGGACGAGTGAGTGGGTGAGCGTTTGGGAGGTGGACGTGGAATGTGCGGACACGCAGGCGGAGAGGGGTGAGAGAGACACCAAGTAAAAAAGTGAGAGAAATAAACTGTGCTCACTCTCCTGCTGCTTAATGACACAAAAGCACAACATCACTCTTTCAGGAAGATGAAATTTGTAGAGAAAAATATTTGATATTTGTAATAGTTATTTCAGTGGGTAGATAAGGTGACATACAATTTATAATAATAGACAAAAGACTCCAAAGAAAGGCTCCTTGACTTTGGGGTTTTTGTAGGAGTTGTGATGCATCACAAGAAGAAAATAACTGATTAACTGATTAACTCTGCTGTGCAACATCTACAGGGGACACCAAACCAAAAGTAATATACAATTTACCTCAGTTCTATTAAATATACTTTCTTCTGCAAGTAAATACTCACCAGCAATTAATCTGTGAACCTGAAACCTTCAAATGTGCATACAACCAAATGGTTTGAAATCCCAACATGAGCTCATGCACAGACTTGTGTAGGGAATCCTGGCTAAAGGTCAAATGTCAAGACCAGACTTTGGAAAAGGTTAGCGTGGTGAATTGGAACCTCTGCAATCTCAGCCAATGGCTCTTTCTAATGTTACTGCAGTCAGCAAGACTAGCGTGCCCACACTCGACATAATGATTACTTTAAACGCCCTCTGGTCTTCTTCATGTGTCCAGTCTCACTGCTCAGAGGTCACATGGCCGCCCAGAGTCCTCAGCCTCACTTCTGTATGAGACTTAAACCAAGTTTTAACTCTTTAAGCTCAAATGATTCATAAAAGTATTAAAACAATACTGAGATCTCCAGTTTGTTGAAAGAATCATTGTTTGCTGCAGAGGTTTTTTTATTGTCCATAAATTAAAATTTTTAAGACAATTTATTGTCCTAAAATAATTCCAATGTTTAGGATGAAGAACAACATCCGCAAAATCCTCAATCTTGCATTCTTATTTAAAGCTGAAGGTAATATTGGGCTTTAGCAGTCTGAGTTAAATAAACCTGGTGGGTTTAGAGAGACAGTCCTTTATTTTGCCTTGGAAACCGTGAACCTCTCCCTTGGCTTTGCTCTCTACCCACACACATCTTTATGGAGGATGAAAAGATGAGACATGAGTCATTAGCCTCTCTCCATCACTCAGAGATCCAGGTTTTGTGTGTCAGCCTTGGATACAATCACCATCCATGAATCACAGCTTCAACACACATGCCAGCTGTATGAAGACCAGAGCTTTGTTTCTCCACATTCACTGATTCAGTTTTGTGGTATTTTGTGGGGTTGCAGTTTAGTGATGTTATTGTTTTCAGCTTGTTTGTCTCCACTTGTTGAATTGAAATTGTGGCAGTTTTAGCAGCTGAGTCAATCAGGTTATGTTTTTGTTTGCATTTGTCTCACATTAGCAGGATTACACAAAACTACTCAAAAGGTTTTCAGGGGATGGGTGGACCCAAAGAAGAACACATTTAAGTTTTAGTGTAGATCCAGGATTTTTTTCATTTTATTTAACATTGGGAGGTAGGGCAACATTTTCATTGATTTTTCAGAAGATAATTCATTATCTTGATGGAAAAAAATCAGGCATGTTTAAGGGACAGATCTTTTAAGAGTTTGGTGCAGATCCAAATAAAAATCTGGATCTCTCTGAATGCCATTCTAGTTTCCAGGGATGGACAGTTCTGTAACTGAGTATTTCCATTTCCTGTGACCTCTGCTTCGTGACATTTCAGAGTAAAATATTGCACTTTTTGTCAAATAAAGAAATATTTTTGTAGCAGTCATCAGATGTCTCGCTCTCTTTAAATGTTTTCACATGTGACAAATGTGCTGTTACAAAAAAAAACTACAAACTGATGGGTAAATAGAAGGTCGGGCAGTTAAATGTCCATTCAAAGTGCTTCCCCAGCAACAAATCCACCGTCTTTGAGGGATGATAAAACTGAAGGATGAACAGACAGATTCTTTGATCTTATTCAATCACAATTTTTTCGATACATTTCCTCAAACAATTTGACTCGATTAATTAAAATCAAAATTCTACATTGCTATGATTGATTGATTAATTAAGGATCAATGTTGTTTGGTTCTAACTTGTTCCCTTCGTTACCTTGTAAAAAAAGTCCATGTCAGGCCTTCTTAACACAAACACATAATATGTAGAATTGCAATGATTTTCTGATGTTTCTCTACATTTTAAAATAATTCACCCGTGCTCTCTTGTTTGGCTGTTCTAGGCAAAGGACAGATGACAATTAACTTCTGTATTATTGATATGACATGATATGATATGATATAATTTGACATGACATGATATGATATATTTTCCTCCTCTGTGCTTGCAGCTGAGCAGAGGCTGGTTTTGGCTGCAGACGAGCGCAGAAGAGAGTTTCACGAGGAGCAGAGGAACGAGTTTGAGAACTACGCTGAGGAGGAGCACGATGGTACGTGAACTCCTTACATCTGATGCATGCAGCAGAGGAATATGGGTTCATTCAAAGTATCCAGTTCATTCATCTGCCAGAAATCCTCTCTAATCTTCCAGAGCAAGACGAGAGGACCAGAGTGAGCACCGAGCAGTGGAGGGAGTTTCACTACGACGGGATGCATCCTCCCCACGAGTACAACCGTCACTCCACCTGAGATACAGAGAGAAAGAAGAGATGTGATGCTGTGGAAACCAATACTTAAAAGAGAAAGAAAAGTCTTGAACTACACAGTGATGCTTGTCACCACAGACCCTGACAGCTGCAGAGTGAAAAGATCAAGCACAGAATGAAATGTTTGAACTCCTTTTTAACCCTTGTGTTGCTGATATTGGCTTTATTTCTTCATGGCCTCCCTCTGACATCACTGCTTATTGTATAAAAGCAATAATAAAGATTCTTCTTCTAAACATCTAAAAAAAAACTAATGAGCATAAAACTATTGAAGTGGTAACCTAAGCAGATATTCTGTGTTTGATATCTTATGGAGGATGCATGAACAAGTAGTTATTCCTTTTTTCAGGGCTTCAACAATTATTTTCATTATTGATTAAGTGTTTCTATTCATGATTAATTGAAATGTTTTTTGGTCTGTAAAATGTCAGAAAACTGTGTGAAATGCTCAGTCCAACAAACAGCCCCGAAGCAAAGGCAGTCAATTATTGTTTAGTCGACAAAGACAACCAGCAAATAGTCACATCTCAGGAATTGGAACCATGATTTCCACTTGAAAGAAACTCAAGTGAAAAGTCAAATGATGTATTTTTAAGATGAATTAAAGCCCATATACGTAATTTTTATAAATAAATGTTTCTGAGAAACCCAAATAGACCTTTTCAGGATTATCATGCGGATGTGTTTCTAAGAATAGTAATGTTAACATTAACCACAGATATCTTATTATAGGCCACATATCTATGAAGTCTTTTACTGCAACATGTATAAGAAATTCTCATACAATTAACATTAAAATAAACAAACTTAAACATCAGCCATAAAGTATATACTGAGTTAAATAGATATAGGGCAATTTCAAAATTCCTATACTCACATATGTTCATATTTACTCACTTGTAATGACATAAAAATAAACAAGTAAATTATTTGAAAATCTATATACAGCTCTGCAAAAAAATAAGAAAAGATGTACTCCACTGCATTCCAGAGTCTGTTGACTTTGAAATTTGCAGGATAAATATTCATTTATTTTAACAAATTATCTTGCAGTGGTCTCAATTTTTTTCCAGGTCTGTATATATATATATATATATATATATATATTCTGTGCATATCAAATGATAACTTCTATATAAGAGATGTGTACATACCCTAACTAACTTGAAATTTACTCTCTGTCAAAGAACCAACGACACATACGAACAAGCCTCTTTTTTTAATACATGAATCTCTACAACTCCACAGAACAATATATAATACATGCATACTGAGGGGCTTTAAATGCACCATCTGATGTTTTCTTTTGGTGGTTTTTTTTGAGAGGGAAGACAAAAATAAACACTCAAGACCCAAGCAAACTGTGTGGTTGAGATTTGTATTTACACATTCACTATCCAACATTTTTTTAATAATTCAAGATGGCGTAGCCCTTGATACTGGGCATGTTCTGGTGTAGGGTTCCTTTTCTTCCTCCCTCGTTCGTAGGAAAATGGAGGATCCACAGAGACAATAAAAAGACAGACCCCTTCTCTTTTCTGTGTGAACGAGGGAGAGAGCGCGAGAGAGAGAGAGCAGGAGAACGAGTCTTTCTGCTAAATTCAACAGGCTGGTATGAAAGCACAGTGATTAAACACAGAGAGAGAAAGTGACCTGTTTACAGACCAGACACTCCATGAGCGGAAGCAGAGCACGATATTTTCACCACTCAACTGTACAATATACTGACCGCACACTTCTGCCATGGGAGCAAATTTGATACATTTGCATTCATTTGTCAATTTTTCTTTTTACTGCAGACATGAATTCACACTTCAAATACGTTCTTTAAATCTGTAATTCAAGGTCTTCATTGAGGAAACATCGCCTTCAGTGTGAGTTCCATGATGTTCATATGTTAGTAATGATGGATTTAAGGGACGAAAACATTTGTCAGCCTCAATGGCACATTAGAATATTATGCACGATTTGGAGTAATGGTGGACTTGAGGAATGAATGATTTTGACAAAAATGTCCTCAATATAACAAGGGCAACAAGAAGAAAGTGGAAAAACTGAAATCTGTTTATAAACAAATTAATTATAAGTCCAGACATGAATGTGAACACGAAAAAGTTCTTTAAATATGCGATTCGAGGTTGTCATTGGGGCAACAATCCATTCAGTGTGAGTTACACGATGCTCATATGTTAGTAATGATGTAATAAACAAACCCAGTGACACATTAGAATAACATGCAGGATTAGGAGGGTTTGTCTTTTCAGCTCTTTCACCTTCCTCAGCAGCAGCGTCTGGTGTTTTGGACAGATTCATGTCGGAGCACATCCCTGAGAACTGCTCACAGAGCGACAACACGTGGTCGCCCTCCTGTGGTCGAGGAGGACTTCACATGCACGTTAAAAATAATCAATCAAACATAACAGTGATTACAAATAAGCAACTATCACATATTGTGTCTTTATCATTTAAAGCCATAACTTTTCAGTCCAGTTGAATTTTTTTTTTACATTTACACATTTCTCAAAGTGATATTTTTAGAAAAGTCGTAATGTAAGAAAATAAATAATCCGATACATTTAGTGCAACGCGGCTGCACCCTCAGCGTTCACACCCCATGACCACAGCCTGCTTGTGTTTCTCGTACACACACACACTTTAAAGCGAAGAAGTTACACACCACTTTTGGGGGTCATGACCGTTTGAGCCATTGTAGCAAATACCACAGCAAATGAACGAGCAGTCAAAAAACGACGAGAAGTTCAGAGTGCAGATGATGTCACGATTACTTCACCACAACTTGAAGCTTATGTTTCACTTATCACTCCACAGTATAGTCCTAGACAGGATATTTACACAAGGCATACAGAGGAGCGTCCAGTCTCAAGACGCTCAGTCAGAAATGACAGCAACTTCAGTGAAGAGTTTTCCCTTTAGTGTGGCACTGCACACCAGCAGGTTGTTGGTCCAACCATGATGCAGCCTGAACATGGCTTCCCTCAACAACTTCTGCTTAACTTCTCCCCCTCTGTACTTCGGGGTCTGTATGACAGTGGGAAGCCAGGCATCGAGGGGGGCGGGCTCACAGCCATGGTAAATGGAGCTGAAACAAACGCTCCTTAAATTCCTCCCGTGTTTGGCAGAAACAAGTGGGAGGCCGCGGGATTGGCAAACTGGGCGAAGACATCGAGTCACGAGGCGTGGGATGGTTTGATCCTGTCTCAAAGCTCCGTGGTCTCCCAGCTCACCTCCCGCGGAACCTGGCGTCATTTAGTCCCAGTGTGAATGACAGTAACGGTGGAGGGTCGGGGCCGTGACGGCTCGGCCACCACAGATGGTTCCTCTCGTACAGGAGAGGGGATGTCAGAGTCCTGATTGTTCACTTTAACCGCAGATGGCAGAGGAGCTATTGGAGGACCTATGGGACAGAATATGTGCAATATGAGAAACTATCATTAACTTAAGTTTGTATAAAAAGTAGCAGAGATTCAAGTTAAAATTAAAATGATTATTTATTAATTATTTTTCAACAAATCCTATGTCTCATTATGTTCCACTTCACTGGCCTTTCTGCAGCACAGAGCCCATTGGTTCCTACTGAAGATATAAATCTTTCAACAAAAATGTCTCTCATACTTTTGTTTATAAAGAAAACAAATAATTGCTGAAAGGCTGGGCACTGTGGACTTCAGCAAATGTTAATCAATACATACAGTGAATGGGGAGTGAACATAAATCTGGGCCAATGGACCAAAACCTCTATGGTAGATCTTGGTACAGTGTCTCCAGAACCAATCCCTGATTTGACAAAAATTTATTGATATCTCTGTAAGCTCTGAAAGAAGCTTTTGACCTGGAGATTCATTTCTTACACATGTAAATTGTCAATTATGGCCTATGTCATATATATATATTTCATCAAGCTCAAATGTGACACAAAAGTTGTAACCAGTGATCATTATCATTATCATTTGCCATAAGATTTAAGATCAATTAAATCTATCAATTTATAAACAAATAAGTCTATAAAAAGTGAGAAACTGGTGAAAATTCCAAAGTGACGTATTCTGATGTGATGTTTTGTTTGATTAAATGTTGATGCATTTTCTGCAAATCACCTTCTGATTCATCAATTAATCGTTTCACCACTGAAGCACAGAGATCCAGTGACTACTGAGTGAGCTTGATTTTTAAAAGCTCTCATGTTAAACTAAACTCTCACCAGAAACTCAAACATATCATCTCAAACCCAGTTTAGTCTGTTGGACTGAAAATGACACCTCAAGAGCTTTTCAAACAGTTGCCAGTGAGTTTAATGGAGACGGCAGCAGAGAGAACAGAGCTGAGCTGAGTGCAGCACTAAGAAGTTGAACACGTCCGTATCTACAGAGAGCGTCTGAAGCGCCACTCACAGTCCTTTGGGGAGAGCGGGGCGCAGTCCACAGACTGGCTCTTGGCTGGAGCTCGGCTCTGGGGGTTGGACACAGAGTTGTCGCTGGAGATGCTGCTGCCAAAGCTGGTTCCCAGCTGCAGACGCCTCATGTGGCGGATCACAGCCGTCGCATTAAAGGCTTGCTGTGAGGAGAGAATGTAAACAGACAAGTGTGATACCAAAGACAGATTCTTTGCATCTCTGAAAAGCCGTTTTCAGACATGACCTCCCGAGGATGTCTGGAGAATTCTGTCCAGACTTTCTCTGGAGGTTTCCTTTCACACATGTACAACGCAGCGGGAGATTCTCCACTCAGACGCGTTCACAACAACACAGAAATCTCTGGAGTATTCAGGGGAGGGGGGGTGCAGCAGGCAAATCAACCCCGGCGTCATCCTGAGATATGTTTTCTTTCGGAGATTGACAACATATAGTACTCACCCTCCATTTGCTTTTGGCGAAGTTTTTCCGAATCTGTCGGCTGACAGATTCATGTATGTTCTTGCAGAGAGCCGTGCCTCCAGCAATCCTGAAAATTACAGTCAAGTCCCTTAATTCACACATACAAGCACGGCATTGCACAACTGATTTATATTGGTATGTGTTATAACCTGGGAATCCATCGTCATGCTGTTTTCCTATTTGCTCCCATCACTTATTTCCATCCTCCTAAATAATGTTTGACTGATGGGGCAATGTGTTTTTGCAGGAGCTCAATCACAGCATCACATTTTCTCACATTCATCATAATATCTCCTTGTCAATGAAACCCATTCCTCTCTGTTGCGAACACTTGTTACCGGTGTCACAAGCCATATATTTGTATCAAAGAGACCACCTGCCCAGCCCCCGAAAGACCCATTACTGGCTAACAGACGTATTCATATTGGCTGCTTCAGCCGGAGACAGCAGCCCACGCTGCTCGCAGCTCGCTCTCATTACCTCCAGCTCAGGCCTGGAAAGACATCCTAATTGTTCATTAAAGCTTCTACATTCTTTAAGGATCCTTCAGGACACCGGTCGCTAATTGGCAGCCATTAATTCAGCAGATTTCTCTTCGAGGGCTGCCGGTGGCGAGCGGTGGTGGGTTCGCGGCTCGGAGCCATGGCGACAGATGACAGTGGGAGGACATGCTCTCTATGACAAAAGCACAAGCCTGGCTATCTGCGCCATTCTGCTGTTGAATTACACCAGGACATGTGGTTCCCTGTGATTGTCTGGCTGGGGCGCATTGCGTCGCGGTTGGTTACTCACCAGGGGTGCTCAAGGGCCTGGTCACACGTGAATCTCTTCTCTGGGTCCTTCTCCATTAGGCAGCTGATGAATTCTTTGGCTATGAAAACAATCGAAAGGGTCATGAGCACATCCAGGAAGTTGTATACTGTGCAGATTGTAAAGCCTTGTGATTTATAAAAACATTCATCTTGACTTAAGAGGAAGCAGGAAATGCCATGTGTAACCTTATGAGCGATGGCAGATTTCCACAGGAATTTCCTTAATATAACCAAAAAATAAATAAATAGATGACTGAAAATCAGAGATCCATGTAACACAAATGAATTATGGGAATTATTTTATCAAAATCTGTTGAACTATAAGCTTGGCACTAATCTATAAATATATAGAGACAATTATTATTGCAGTCATTCTGCATTTAAGTGGAATCGTCCATCAAACGTCAACAAATACAATACTCTTTTCTGTCTTTTCCCAAATCTATTTGTAAGATTTTTTTGTTGCTGACGATGGAGCAACAAACCTGATTGAAAATAATAACAGGTAATAAAAACTAGCATAAATACATCACAAAAACTTAAAAGCTCAATTATAAAAATGTTGTGTAAACAGCTTTATGCTTTCTTTTCCCTATGGCTGCTAAAACTGTAATCTGCTGTTAGTTGGTAGACTGTGGGTGTGTGTGTGTGTGTGTGTGTGTGTGTGTGTGTGTGTGTGTGACATGACCTGACTGCTGAAGTGTTGTGAACTAAACTGGCTGCTATTACAGCTGAGCAATGCTAACAGTGTTTTCACGCAAGCTCTGGAGTTATTTTAGCTCTGCCATTTGCACTAATCTGTACCATGGACTGAATAAAAAGATGAACGCCATGACAGCTCCCCAAAAGTGAAGCCAAATCATCTTGATCGCCCCCTCGAGGTGAGTGGTTGGGACACTGACACCACCTGCACGATTATAGATTAAGAGACGTCTTTCTCTCTTTTTTTGATTGTTTACTGTCAGGTTCAGGGCTCCAAACTAAAATTAGCTTCCTTGAAATAACAAGGAAACTGCAGGACCTGTGATTCAGAGGTGTTACAATTTATTATAACATATTCAACACAAATTCCGACGTAGCTCACCAGAGTCGGATATATCATCCCAGTACGGTGCGTCAAACTCGTAGTCTGCCTTGAGGATCTGCTCAAAGAGCTTTGAGTCATTTTCGTCGTAGAAAGGAGGGTAACCACAAAGCCTGAGGAGATGAAGATGGATGATTGCACAATGATAGTCTCTGTGAGCACTTTCATCCAGCTGGTGTTAGAAACTTTAACCTAAATCTAAAAGGATTTGCTGTGGGCCTAATCTCATTTACTGGCAGTTTGATTTCATACAGCATGCAACAGGAGATGGTTCAGAGGGATTAGAGAGACTACATGGAGTCTAAGAGGGAAAAAATGGGACAAACACTCACTTCCATATGATATGGAAAAAAACAGGACATGCATATTGCAGATATGCAACATAAATCCATAACACAACCCTAACCCTGTACATTTGAGCTGTCTCCTGATTGTGAAACAGAATAAAATTGTTCCATAATGATCATAAGACAGAAGAATTATCTGTAAGAGCCTCAGAAACTCTTCCACTACGTACATAGCATTAAAACTCATCATCCTGACAAGTGGATAAATGAGACCTGGGATTTTCTTTTTGCAAATGTGAACCACCAATTTATCTAATTAGTTTAGTGGCTTTGTGCAAGACTTTCCACTAAAAGCTTTTTAGGTTGTGTAAGAAACATGAGCACCGGTGATTATCACTTCTGTTTTTATGTGTTTCACAATTTTAGCCACGTTATCATGTGGGTCCAGAGAAAAGTTGGTCTGTTCATTTTGGTGAAGATCACATGATAGCGGTTGAATTTCTTTGACACATTCATGGTTCCCAAAGGATGAACCTTTTAACACTCTGTTGATGTTCATTACTTTGAATCTAAGGCTTTCAAAACTTCAAAACTTGATTCACAATCAAACACCTGCAAAAACTAAAGACAGTAAGAATTAGCAAAATATTTAATACATTTAGCTGTATTTCAAATCCATACAATAAACTTCTCATCAGAATGTACTGTTTTAATAAATCAGCACAATATCAGACTTATTTAACCATTTTATACAAACAGGAAATAAGAACGTGGGATGTTGGTTGTCAATCAAACTGCGGCGTTGGTGTCACTAAACTAACATGATTTAATACATGTATTAAAAACCTGCTTAGAATCATTGTGTAGTATGAGAATTATTATTTTTCAATTCTGATCTTGTTATCCACTTTCTGATGATCATCTATAACTTTAAATTCATGATAAAGAGGTTTTTCATCTCAGTCAGCTTTTCCTGGATGTTTCTGATTCAAGGTTTCCTGTTTAAAATGTTCAAATGCAGAATACAAGATTCAGATCCTTCCATATTATATCTATTTATGGTTTAAATGAAGCACTTACAGAATATAAGCGATGACCCCAATGGACCAGCAGTCCACAGCTTTACTGTAGGGCTTCTGAGCCAAAACCTCAGGAGCTGGAAGAATAAAATATTGTTGTAAACGGTCAGAAACACTAACATTCGTGTAGCGACCAATGCAAACAGATTCTTTCCATTCACCAGGACAAAGAGGCTGGAGACAAATGTGAATGTTTGCTGCTTGGCCTGTGGCAGATGGCGGAGGTTAACCTATGGCTACTTGGATTAGATCATGTTTAGCCAACTAGAGCAGCTAATTATCTCAGAGCAAGTTTCCACCACAGTGACAAGCTCAAAGGGCATCCTCACCCACGTATCCCGGAGTCCCACAGGCGGTGGCCATCACGTCACCTGTTCCCTCCATCTTGGAGAGGCCAAAGTCACTGATCATGATCTTTGACTCATCATGAGGACTGAAGTACAGCAGGTTCTCAGGCTGAAAACAAAAAGAAAGAGTCAAACACTGGGCCTGAGCTCGTCTGTCAAGCTTCTGGGTTTTTTTCTGTGTGGATTAATTTCAGTCGTCCAGACAGTAAGACGTCAGACAAAATGTGAAACAAAACCCCCCTGGATTTATTAGTCTGGTGAAGTTTTACAGTTCATCCAGACGGCTTCATCACTTTTACTGAGGTTGTGAAGCACACAGAGTTATTGAGTCACTCACACAGGTTAGATGACAGGGGTTTCTCTTCTCTGTAAGATGTAAAAGTCCTCAACAACAAATGCAGGTGATTCTGTGAGGAACTGTGAATATTAAATACAGTTGATACCTTGAGGTCTCTGTGCACTATGCCCATAGAGTGCAGATAGTTGACCGCATCCAAAACCTGTCGGATGAGTCGACTGGCATCCATCTCTGTGTAGAAGCCCTTTTCCACAATGCGGTCAAACAGCTCACCTCCAGACACACTGCCAGCACACACAGAAAACAACAGTCAGGTTAAATCAATAATCAATCCGATGAAGAAGTTCATTTATGTCGCACTAATCAGAATCAGTGATAACAAAGTGGTTTAAAAAAGGCAGGCAACTGACAATTGGAGGAAGTGGAGATGCATCGTCCTATTAATTTACAGTCTATGCTGCAAACAGCTACACTGGCTTTGTCTATTGAGAACAAAATCTGCCTATGAGCTCCTGTAAATCACAATGACTTATTATATTATCACTTAAAATCTTGCAGTGTGTCTTAAAATGTTATGTTTTGTGAAATGTGCTTTTGTTTTGACCCTCTCCTCCACCGTACAACCTGGATAGGAAACACAGATGTAACTTGTGAAATTGGTACAAGCACCAAACAGAATTTGTTTTTTCATCCAGATGGTGGTCTGTGAGGAGCCTGGAACAAGTGTGTGACAGATCTTTAGTTTAGTGACTCATGTAATGAAGAAGCTGGTCTAAAACCTCAGCTTGTTATCACACTATAGATCAGAGGTCACCCACACGGTGCCTGCGGGCACCATGTAGCCCCCAAGGACCGCATGAGTCTCCCGCAGGCCTGTTCTAAAAATAACACAACTCACCAGTGAGCTGTGTCTAAAATTTGATATGCGTTTCTAATTAAATGTAATTATTTACTTTTTATACTGTCAAATTGTTATTCTCATATTGAAGTTGACTATTGACTATGATTTGTTAAAAGGGTTTGTCAGTGGTTAGTGAAAATGGGACATTTGTCTTATGAAATGTAGAAGTGATCATCTGAACATTTAAACAATTGCTGAGATTAATAGAAATAAAGTGTTGAATGTTGATATTATCTGTTTCCCACCTTGTTAAGTCATTGTTGATTATTATTGTGAGAAATCATTAACGTGATCAGTGTCTTCACATAGATGAGAATCATTTATCATTAATAATAATATATAATTAAAGGCAAACTGAGAAAATGCGTTATTTCAGAAGAGTGTATCAAACTGGTAGCCCTTCATATGACTCAGTACCCATGAAGTAGCTCTCAGTTTCAAAAAGGTTGGTGACCCCTGCTATAGATATAGATGCAATGGGACAATTCAAATTTAGGTATATTTGATAAAGTTGGTCAAACGTTTACCTATCATTCCAGTCATCAGTAAAGCTAAGCTAACTCTGTCATGGCTCCAGCGTCATACTTATGGTACATATCGTAATCCTCTCCTGAATCAACTGTCATTACGAGAGTGAATACACTAAACTAATAGTTTTTATTGTTCAACAATACCATCTGCAACATCATTTGGTCCCTCTGTTTGTGTGTAATACGATAAATCTCCCACCAAGACTCATTCCTCTTTGAAATCATTGTATCAACTCAGACGTGCAGATGAGGGCAGAAATACCTCGAGGACTTTACAAGATGCTTTTTCAGGCAAAAACCTTAAATTGACAGGACAAACAAAGAGCTGCCCTACACAAACAAAGAGGTGAGCCGATGTACTTACAGCTGCATGATGAGGTACAGGTGGTTTGAGCTCTCGTAGATGTCCTCCAGAGCCACTATGTTCTCGTGCTTTATCCTGGAGGAGGGAGGAGAAAATAAAATCACTTGCTTGCTCTGTTTGTTTAATCAGGTCCCTTTTCTTTTGTTAAAACCATGACCCTTAAATCCTGTTGTTTCTTTTTCTCTTTTGTTCTTTTGCTCGCCGTGTATGTTTGTGCATGTGTGTCTTCACTTGCCAAAAGATAAACCCGGCAAAGCTTATCATTTACCTAAAGGAGAAAATCTTAAGTGAGTGACTGAGATAAGGGCAGGGGGTTGTTCTTGGAGGATGCTAATCAATGAGTCATGAAGCAGTAACCCCCTCGTCAGCAGGGGCACCTAAAGGAGATAATAGGGCGTGGATGAAAATGCTGGGAGTCTGTGTCCAGGCAACCAACATGTAAGGTTTAAGAGAAAGAAAAAAAAAAACGCCTCTGCAAGGAGATATGCAGATGACAGACGTGCAGCTGATAAAGCAAAGGTGGGGGTGGTAGAGTAGGGAGGAAGCATCTCAGTGTTCACAACTTCCTCCCAGTGGCAGTTTTGGGGATGTTGTGGATACAACGAAGAAGAATGAAGAGAGAAAGGAAATAGAAGGAATGACATATCAGAAAAGAGAGACGGAAAAAAGGAAAAAGTCAGAGGATAGCAACTGTAGCCAGGCAACTACACCCAACAACTGGCGTGCTCACTTCAAGAGTGACTGATAACTCCTTGGTGGAATTACCCATCAGGCCCTGAAGGAGGATGGAGTGTCACCTACTGTCAATGCAATCCTATCATACCCTGCGTAGGAAGAAGTAGGAAGAATGTGGTTGTTAGTGGCAGAATTGTCGCAGATTGTTCGAACAATAGCTCGTCTCTTACGCATGTCAGCAGTTATAGGATTCTAAAATGCAGAATTTAACAGCACAACAGCTGTTAACAAAGACAACCAGGTCAGCAACAGTTGTAATTAGTTATTCATGTTGCGTTCTACACTGGTAGCTGAGGGGAGTCATGTGATAGGAGCCTGATGAATCAGTGAGGGCTACGTCGGGACCGGAAAGACCCAATCAGCAAGTGGCTGTGAGTGTCTACATCGTCTGCAAACATCTCTGTTTTTGCTTGTCCAGACTAAAATATAGCCTCAAAGTTTTCAAACTGAAACAGGAACAGCAGCATTTCCAAATTCCTCAATTTTAGCAGCTCTACAATTCAGGAGCAGTGTGGATGTGAGGCGTATCACAAGCAGAGTTGATGTAGTGGATTTAGTTTGGATGTAGCCTGAGTGGCATCTGCATCTCAACTCATAGAGCAGACATTTACAAGCTTTCCCCCCTCAGAGGATGCACACACTGGTGAACTTCTCTAAAAGTGGTGTTCCTCTACTGCAATCTCCCCCTCAGACTCAGTCAAGCGGCACCTACTTCCTCAGCACGGCGATTTCATTTTCGATGCTTGTCTCCTTCCCCTTCAGTGCTTTTTTGGGGATGCACTTGATCGCCACCATCTTTCCCGTGGTCTTCTCCCGAGCCATCACCACTTCGGAAAACGCGCCCCTGTGGGAGACAGAGGAGACACGTTAGTCCTCCTTCACATGCGCTGGGGCAATATTGACACAGAAAACCTATCGTGAATGAGTACATACAAGGCACTCAGAGCCAGACAGGCCAGAGTACACAAACAGCATATTGTGAATATTTACTGAGAACTGGCAAAAATCCCTGACTAAAGCCAACAGCCATCCGCACTGGCTTACGCTCGGTGCCCGTGTGCAGCCAAAAGCATGGCAAACACTTTTAAAACACCCATTTAGATCGGCAGATAGTGTGTCCGCCTCGGCCATCTGTCTCTATACACGAGAGCCTTCGAAAACAAATACTGAATTAAGGGAATATTTGCTTGAGCAATCTGTATTCCGTTGCTATGATACCACATTCAGTCCACCTTAAATCTTGCAGAGCATGCAGCATGATTCCCCCCCCCCCTCCCACTTCTTGTTTTCATTACACTTATTTTAACCTCCACCTCAGGAGGGTTTGAAGTGAAGATCTTAAAAGAGGATTGATGTTTTGATTTGTTCAGTTACTGGACCAGAACAGGTCATATGATCTAAAAAACCTCAAATAATCCCTGATTATTGCTGATGAACTGACGGCTCTGCGGTGTAGGCTCAGCAAAATGTGTCAGGACAACAAAATCAAATCTTATCTGAGGTAGAGTTCTTGATTTTCTTGACTCATAAAGCCATGTGGAGTTTTTCACTTATTTATTTGTCTTATCCATTTTATTTGTTTGTTGTAATTTTAAACACAAACTGAGCTGCTGACAAAGTTTTACTTTAATTCATATGTTCAGGCTAAATAAGTGTGTTGACATGAGCACAGCAACAGGGTCTTCATTATGTAATGGGTTACACAGACACAAACACAGTATATGGTCCCTTTTATCCAATATTTTCCCTATTGTTCACATTGTGGTTTTAAGATACATTTCTTCAAACTCTTCATTTATTCTGCAATAGTAGTCCTGTTGTTCTTGTTGCAACAATTACCTGCAGCCATTTTAGTTCGTTTTTTTCTTTATTAACTTACCAACAGTACCTTTAATGAAATATTCTTTGTGTACAAAAAGTTTATGAAGGGTTTTGTCCGGGTATAATGTAAGAAAAGGACCAATAAACTTCTATTCCAAATAATTTAATTGCCTATTCTGAGCTCTCTTGTTAATTTTCTGTAAAATAAAGGACAAGCCCAAACAATGAAAACATATCCAACATTAAATACATTTCTAAAAATATACTGCAAATATACTGAATACATGGATGAGTGAGGACGGGAGGTAGCACAGCAAGACAGGGATGTGTAAATGCTTCATTTGCTTTAGTTTTGCTTACCTGCTCTCAGTGAGCCATGAATGTTCATGTTTGCTGATTGTAATTGAGCTGTTTACGATGAAAGCTGGAGCATTGCGGCATTTCACAAAATGTTTTGATAAAAAATGAAAAGAAAAGTGAAGAACTCAAGTATTCACTCCTTTCTTCCCCTTTTCTGACCTGATTTGTTGTTAAAGCTGGGACTTTTTCTCCCTGGCATATATTGATATTTTTATTTCTAACATGTTTGAAATAAAAACCTATAACAATATGAAACATACTGTCTCCTGCAGTTATAAGTTGAAGCATCATATCAGTAAAAATAAAAGACACCTGAAGTGATTCACTGCCGAACAAACGGCGAGGCAGGCCCAACATCAAAAGGTCCATTATGTTCTCTGAGTGTAATCAGTTTCCCCTGACGGGCTCTAAAGTCAGCGCCTCTTGCTTCGCTAAATCCCAGCGTGGCCATCAAATCCACGCTAATCCCTCACTCCACCATCACACGACACGGGGGGCAGGGGAGGAACGAAGAGGGTCAGTCAGAGTCACCACACACACACAAATATATACACACATACACACACACACTACCTGGACACAAAGCCCAGCCCCAGGTGTGATGAGGCGGAAGACGTTACAGCAAACAAAGAGAACTAAAGGGAGCCTGGAGCAAAAGCCCTTCTGAATTCGACCTCACTCTGACATTTGGGACAATATGTAAACTCAAAGGCTCGTGTGAAGGAGATGGTGCACTGCTCTCTGGCTTGTTACAGCACACACGCACACACACACACCCACTGCAGCTGCTGCCTTGAGGACAATGAGCATCATTTCTATTCAGTGCATGCTACCGACTTCTACAGCTGTGTGGACATTGTAGATCAAAATTCCACCACCAGCACATTGAGCTCCCGTGCACGCTTATATTTTCAGAGCACGCTCACTCCTCTCTGCTGCAGGACACACACACACACACACACACACACACACACACA